AATTCATATGCAGTTAACCCTATATCAGTGTAAACTCCTCTGTATGTACTCAAGATTTAAAAGACTATTTAAAGACTAATTTTTCTTGTAGAAGAAGAAAGTTGGCTCCCTCATTTTCTTTCCCTCTCACCTAAATTCTTTTTCTCTTTTCTCCTGTTAATTTTGTGCTGTTTACCAGTTGTTCTTAAATGTTTAGTTTCATTCTGACTCCTTGCTATTTTTTTCCTTTCTCCTCCAAATGCTCTGAAATCCAGTCACTTTTGCATGCCAAATCCCAGCGCCTGTTTGCCTTTACCGTGAGGCTTCTCTTGCTGCAGTTTGCACTCTGCTGCTTCCTAAATTCTTCTCCATACTTGGCTTGTATGATTGTAAGGCTTCTCATCCCATTCTGATGCTCTGTCAGCCCTTCTTTGCTTGGATTTGGTCTCCTCCAGAAATTTGAGCTTCATCTTTGAGCTTTTCTGCTTTGACACCTGTCTCTGGTGCCACTCCCCTCACTCCCTTCATTTTACCTATATGCACATTACTTAGAAATGAGGCTTTCCAGTGAGGAGTAATATTTTCTGCCTCCATTTTCAGCTTGTCTGTCTGTATTTCTTCTGTAACCTTATCACAAAGGAAAACACACCATAGCCGGAGCTCTCCAGGATCGCGGCTCTGCCAGGTGACTTGCAGGGCACGGTGCTGCGCCTGCTGCTCGAGTCACTTTTTTCCTCCTGTAGAGTTTAACTGCTCTGCTGACTTTCAGCAGAGCAACACTGAGGGATCACAAAATGCCTCACCTGGTCGAGCTCGAAGCCCACGTTATCAATCTGAGCTGCCAGGAAAGCAGCCCGTGCTCGGTCTGTAGCCCAGCGCCGCCACAGGCCGATTTGCTCCCTGGTGCTGTGGGTGCTCGTGGGCAGCAGTGCTGCAGCTCCTTGCTTTGGTGGAGGTCAGTTTGAGTCCTTACAAATTTTATTTCTGTAATCTTGATCATTAGCTATTTAATTTTCTATTTTTTTTTCCAGAGGACTGCAAGGAGAGAGGGCTCTTTTTGCTTCTGTGTTCATTCTGTTTTTTTTATTTAATTGCTCTATTTTCTCAAATGTTTCTCTAGAGTAGTGAATGCAAAATATTTCTGCAAGCTCGAACTTAAACATACATTTTTTAATAGTGAGAGTTTAAAAAATCACAAGTTAGTGGCTACTTGAGGGTTTTTTTTCTTGAAATATAAATAGAAGCAAAAATAATATAAAATTCATCATTGTTTTAGAGGAACAAAAATGAGTGTAGTTAAATGTAGTGTAGTGAAATGATGCATGTTTCTCAAAATACAGAAATGTTTTCATTAATAACATTCTCAATTTAAATAAACATTTAGCATTTCATAACTGTTTTAACTTCAAATGTTTTTAGTGCCAAATTCTCTTTGTGTAAATTGATAGTGCAAAATTTCATTATATAAACTGTGAAATGATCAGTGATAGCTTTACTGTGAAAAATACAGTACTAGCTATTAGACATTTCAGGGGCCTGATGAAAGTATTCATGTCCAGCTAGGTCGTGTCTAAGAATTTAGCTGAACATCAATATTTATATTTAGGTAGTGCAGGCATTTGAATCATACCTTCTTTCAAGTTCTAAATATGGATCGTGTTTACGTTAGTGAATCATAAGCATAGACTGTAGAGCTGAAATAAAATCCTTTTCTCCAGAGGTACTTAGATATTCATGACCCTGATCTTGGATCATATTCTCATTGCTCTGAAGAGATCTGTATTTCAAAACAAAACAAAAAAAAACAAAAAGTGTCTCCTTTTTGCAGTTTGCTGAGAGGCAAATGTTAGTATCCCGGAATATAAAGCTGTGGGGGAATCAGCCAGTTAGTTCTGTATAAAAAGAGACTATAACGGCCTTTGCACAATGATTCTTTGGGAAGATTGTTCGTGACTGGTTTCTGTTTGATTTCTTGGCGCTTAATTTAGTTTGCTTTTAAGAAAATCTGTAACTTTCATATACAGTCTAGTTGGATGCAGTTATTTGAACTAACTGTACATTGTTAAACACACACTACAAAGAAGCTGCTGAAGAAATGGTCTGTTAGTCTGTGGTCATTTACTCACGTGCTTGAAATATATGACCGTTCTCCTGAAGTCATGTTCTGATCATTTTTAGTTGAATTCTTTAAGTAAAACCAAAATAACTTTTACATTTTGCCTGCAGATTAGTTGTTGCCCCGTATTTATGCCACTAAATTTATTTTAAGAGCAACTATAGAGGGCAGAGAGCAGAGTGTTGAAGGCAGCAGGAGAGCAAGATGTGAAAGGGCCTGTGAGGACGGAAGCTCCTCAGGGGAAATGGACGTCACTTCTGCCCCGATACCCTGCACTAAAACGCGTGTCTTTGCTGTTCGATAAAATAACAGCAGAGTTTGGCTTACACTGAAAACTTCAGTGTGTTGTGCTACAGTGTGTTTTGGGGGAAAAGGAGTTGATAAGTTCCTGTGGTTCTGAGGGGTAAAAGAGCTTGGTACGTAGGGGACGTGGATGGGCCTGGCCTGGTGGTGCTCGGGCTGTGTGATCCCCCTGCATGAGGCATCCAGAGCCGCTCGGCCCTGGAGCAGGGAACCATGTCCTGACACCCACACCGGCCCGGTTCCTTCTAGCGCCGGGCAGAGCTGCTGCGCGTGCTGCATTGACAAGGGGGTTTTCTTCTGAACATATTTTAAGTTGCTGCCTTTCTCTTTGGAAATGGTACTTTGGATTATTTTCATCTGTTTTCTCTATCTGCCTGATGATTGTTTTTAAACTGAATGTAGAACCTCATCAAGTCAAACCAGGCCATGAGCATGTCTAGGCTTTTTTAAAAACACATCTAAAACTAGTACTCTGCAATTACATTTTTGTATTTAAGATTTTGTAATTTTTTTTGTATTTCTATTATTTGCTTTTCCAATTATGTGGAAAAATGTAATTGCAGAATACTAGTTTTAGGTGTCTTAACTGTAAGTAGCTTAAAGTAAAAGTAAACACTAATTTCATTTTGGCATTTCTTTGATATTTCATATACATCTTTAGAGGATTGCATGTGACTGCATGTCTTACATATGTAATTCCCCATAATACATGTTTCCAGCAGGAACCATAATGGTTACTATCTGGGGTTGTTAGCTCAGATTTAAAGTAAAACTAAACTTTTGATGGAAGTGAGCTGCGAAGTTTTGATGGTAAATAGTATATTGACAAGAAAAAAATAGAATGGTTAGTTACAGAACTTTATAACACAATCTTCCAAATGTAAAATATACCTAGCAATCAGTATGACAATTGCAAATTCTCAGGAAGCGAGCATGGGATTCCTTTGTGCTTATACTGGTGAAGACCCAGCTTAAAAAGTAACCCTCAAGATTTTACGTTTATCATATGCTCCATTTCCTGCATTTATTATGATACTTATAGCTAGCATAGCTTGGAAATTGGTTGCAGTTGTTTATTATCTCCTCCATTCAAGGAAAAGAAATACGGAATAGCATAATGGAAGTGCCACTTTTTAAAAATGTACCTTACCTTTGTCAACATACAGCCTCTGATCAATTGAATGCTTTGTCTAATATTATCTGCCTTCCATTAATTAGCAAATAAACTGTTATCAGAAAAATATAGCCCAATTCTGTTCTTCTTTATGTAAGAAGTTTCTTGATCATTATAAGAGTTGTTAGAATAGCTTGATTCTAACATTCATTGATAAATACCTTCTGATATTATCCATATCGACAAGGATGATACATACAGCTTTAATCCTAAACAGGTCAGCATTTTACAGAGCATTTTTTCTTTCATTTTTCTGATATGGAAGTTATCAATTTATCTGGTATGGAAGTTATCAATTTGGAAATTAATTCTGTTTTTCGGCCTGTGGCTTTTTAAAATATTGGCAAAACCTTGTGCAAAAATATCCAGTCAAAATGTGAAATGTTCAAGAGCAGCTTTTTAAAAACAGACACAGTTGAAAGCAATGGAAACAGTTATAAGTTTGGTGGTTACTGTTATGCCAACTATAATATATAGTTTCAGCTTGGAAAGTAAATGCATTATATTTTCCAACAGTTTAAAAGGTATTACAAATAATGAAGACTATTCAAAAGAAGGTCTTTAAGAGTTATGTATCTAGAAACACTGTGAATTTGAGATTATAGCTGACGTTTTCTGAGATCATTCAGAGAATTAAGAGAATTAGCTTCCCAACCTCCTTTAACTTTCAAGATTCTTGAAATTCTACAAATTCATATTTTATTTTTAACACTGAGTCCTTTTCTCAGGACAATTTTTTTTCTTTTTAGAAAGAAATTTTGAAGAATCTGTTATTCAAGCCATGCAGGAAGTGGAGAAACAATGACAAGAGAGAGAGAAAAAAAGGAGGCAGGACATGTGACAGATGGTTGATAAGCCTAACCAAATAACTTCATTAATATATTCTTTCATCTCAGTCATAAGTTCCATAGTAAATTAAAAATTCCTAAAATAAATGCTGGTGTGAAAGGAATCCAGTCACCAAGGAAGTGCAGAGTTCCTTTGAAGGGAATGGTTGGACAACAGCTGGATCTCATGTACCAATGCTTGAACAGAAATTTCGGCAGACACTTTGCCTCTTTGATTTGTGAGATTGTAGAGTGCATTGGAGAAACTTTTATGCAGGACTTCTAGAATAATATTGTTGCTCACCTGAGGCTTTTCTCCTAATCATAGTTTTTGTAATTTCAAGCTACTGTGTAAGGCACTCGGAGTTGTCATGAGTGTGAAGACGTTCTGTATCCATGGTTATTAGATGCATACATTGTGTATGCCAAAATTTTTATTTTATGGAGTTCTTTCATCCCCATTTGACCTGAGTTCAAGTTATAAGAGTTGCATCGTCAACCTGTATGACAGTATCAGAGTAAGGCTATAAATAACTTCCTCCATTTTGTCTTTCATCAGTTTTCAGATGACAAATAATATATTGATCTGTAACATTTCCAGGCTTTACTCTCTGTACATGATACCGTTGCTCAGAAGAACTACGATCCTGTGCTGCCCCCCATGCCTGACGATATTGATGAGGAAGAAGATTCAGTTAAGATAATCAGACTTGTCAAAAACAGGGAACCATTGGTAAGTAATCCCGCCTTTTGTTTGGGATTTTTGTGTGTGTGTGCACAGGATGCAGAGTACTCAGTTTGTGAACATGAATGAGTAGCAGTAACTAGAAATGTGAATAGGAGGGTGTTGTCCATGTTTATGTATTACACTAATACCCTTATGAATGACATCTTTATTATTAATAAAGTGTGTCAAATGAGTAAAGGAAATCTGTTCATTTATGGTGTCTGTGGGCTGCTCTGACTAGTTATATCAATTATATATTCATCATCTATCTTGAATTTAAATCAGAGACTTCTTTTAAAAACAGAGGAGAGTGAATCCCCAAAGAAATCCTGACCTTTGTCATGAACTGTGCCTGTTAGCATTCATGTAAAAATATGTGACCTTTTGATACACTGAAAGAAGAGCATGAAAACATACTTTAAAATACTTCAATTGAAATATGGACAAATTTAAGATGTCTGTTGTTGTACTTTGGATTATGAATACTAGAAAGTTAATATCTTCATGGGGATATCTGGAAAAATGAAAGGGCTAAACCTAGGTTGTATTACAAGAATATTAAAATGCTTTACTGATTTGGTTATTTTTATTTGCTGTAGAGCAGGAGTCATCTTGTATAAAATTTAACTATATGCCTTTTCCTCCTGCAAACCAACAAAAGCTTTGTTTTATATTATACTGAATATTTGTTTTAACGGATAGAGATGCTGAAGAAATATCTGCAAAGTTACTTTGAGAAAGCTGCGATTTTGTATTTGAGGTGACAGGGAGAGAGTGATGCCTGTGTCAGATGTACAGAGGCAGCTTGTCTAACCATAGATATCTTAGTATCAGCTCTCGTTCTTGGTGAATATCTCATGTTGGTAAATAAGAAATGAGTTTTAGTGTTGCCTGTAGATGCCCCTGGACCCCATTAAAACTTTGACCTATGTAAACGTTTTCATAGAATCATTATGGTTGGAAAAGGCCTTTGAGATCATCAAGTCCAACCATGTTACCAAGACTTACATATTAACAAACATATTAAACATTTTTTCCCAAATATTCAAATCATATTTAAAATATTTATTAAGAGTTCTGTCTTTATTTTACTTTTTAACAAGGGTACGTTCTTTAAGGAAGAAAACAAACAGTATCCGAAAGAGGATCGGTTCTGAAACACATGAAGAAGTTCGAACATACCATATGAAATGAGTTCCAACTGAACAACTTATTTTTAGTATTAACGAAAATTTTCTTGTTTTGTTTGAGTTTATGTGAGAAAATCTTAATGATGTAAACTCCCAATTTACATAGTTTCACAACTGAAATGAGATTTGCTACTAAACCCTTGTGTGAGTTTGTGAGTTGTGCCATCCTACAGTCTGGTAGCTTCTTCTCATGCTAATCTTCTGTCTGTAAAACTTATATTTATAAGGAAGCCATAGGGATAGGATTGTTTCTTTTTTTTCCTGCAAAGTGGGAGGCTTTGCATCAGCTGCCTATGCTGGGAGTCCCTGACTGTATCTTCTTTGGAGTATGTTGGAGTATGGTGCAATAGTCTCTGTGCAGCAAACTGGGCACTCTTAACTCCTTCAGAATAGATCTAATGCCTGATTAGCCTGCACCATATTTCCTCTTGTGCTGTTCCTGCTTTTCTCTCATTTAAGGAACTCTCTGGTGCTCCGACCCCTTGCTCACATATTAATGAAGACTGTGAGAAGAAAACACAAGGGGTTGTGGAGGCCTTCTCTAGGCCAGATTTCAAAAGGTTGAAAATCATTGCTTAGCTTTTCTCCCAGTCCTTTTGCAAAAGGTGATTCAAGCTTTCAGTTCATCCTTCCACCCTTATTTATTTATTTATATATATATTAAAAAAAAAAAAAGCTCTATTGGCAATTGGCATTCTCACAGTTTCACTCAAGTGAGATGGAGTTACATATTGGGCAGTTTTGTCCCAATAAAATGGTTTAGAACTTCCCCGAGCCTTATGTAGGCAGAACTAGACACCTCTTTTCCAGGGGTGGTGCCTGGATTCACCTGCCTAGATATTTTAGCAGAGAGAAAGAAGATTTTTGGAAGATTCTTACTTGTGCCACAGTTTAAGTTTCTTTCCAGCCACTTGGGTCTTCCTGGTTAATGTTTCCGATATCTGAAATGTGCGGCTGGATGTTCCGTAGATGGGGTGGCCTCTACCAGCTTGTGGCCCTGGCTCCCGAAGCCGATTCCACGTTCGGTAGAGCTGGCTGCGGTTCCTCTGAGGAGTCACCTCACAGATTCATTTCACACAAATTTGGCCACGTGGAAGCTAATGTCTCTGCTGTGCCTGTAGTCAAGAAAAGATGGGCAGCTCCTAAGATCAAATCATTCCCGCTCTTTAAAATGCCTGTTTTAATAAAGGCAGGATTCATTCTTGGGAGCTGCTTGTTTCTTTTCATTAACTGCAGGAGGAGGCTGGACACCTCATTTGAACCAGATACCTGCCTGGCTTCCACAGCCAAACGTGGGTGAAATGAATTGCTAGGATTAAGACTGTTTCATGTTCTGCTCACACAGAGTCCACAACCTCCTTCTGTGCATCCTAATCACAGTCCTGTAGCTGGGCTTTTATTAGAGATGAACGAAATAAAATAAATCTGTTTTATAGGGATTAACCTCAATGGGTTAGGGACAGCCTCAATGGGTACTGGCCAGCAGTTGGCTTTTGTGTGCATAGCCTATGTGTGTACCAAGAGTGGAATTTAGACAGCACCTTTTAAAATAGCTGTTCACTATAAGGTAGGTAACTGATACTTTTGTTTGTATTTTCAATACTGAATGCACTGAATTCAGCATTCAGTATTAAATTCAGTGCATTATATGCACTAAAATAAGTTTCATTGAAGGTCTCATTTGCATTTAGTGTCTTAATGGAAAATTATGCAAAAAATATTACTGATGTTACGAATGTCCTTATTCATAATTTATTTCACAGGCTAATCTTTCTTTTTTCTTTGTAAAAGAAAGGCTTATGATTTTGATATTCTGGAACAAGCAGATAAATAAAAACGCTCACAAATGTGAGACCCTAAGTGGTGCTCACCAATCTGTGTCATTACATTAAAAATGGAAAGAAAACGAAGAGGCAGCCTCACTAAAGGAGCTTGTATTATTTTTAGTGCTTTTGCATGGTATACCTTTAAACCTTTTCTCAGTCTGATCACCATATGTCTCCCAAACTCCTTATTTTTCCCTTTAAAAGTATTTTAAACTGAACTATGCTATTACATCTGTATATGTCTCATTTAGGGTAACTTACACTTTTGGCGAGTAACACTGAAAATATTTTCCAGCTCTCAAGGTCCAGCCTAACCTTCTTCCATTTTTAAAGCTCTAAATGAGGAGCTGCACTGCACATGTAACTGAAAGTACTGGAGCTGAACATCTCATAATAAGAAATTCTTGCCAGATTATATATACCTCATAGTTTAAGCAGAGCTGGCAGCAGTACAAGAGAAACTGCTTTTTCTGAAAATCAAGTCTCCGGGCATTCAAAAAGAGATCTGTTTGTGTTTGATTTCTTTTTAAGTATTCTAAATTTGAGGGGAGGGCGATTCGAAAAACTCAATTTTTCCTATGTTTACTGTAGGTATAGGAAAATTCACAAAACTCTATTGCTTCTTATGGGGCTGCCCATTCACTTGATCTTTGAGTTTGGCAGGAAGGAATTATTTTCAAGTAGCTAGCTCGGGTTCAATAATTTTTGTGTAAACTTTAACTTGATTTTGTTCTTTGTGTGAAAATTCCAAATTACCCTGACTTTCTACGACTTCTCTCAAGTCAGCTAATCTGTACTTAGAATTCATTTTGTGCCAATATATTGCTAGTGGCAATTGCCTAAAGCATAAAGCAACCACTGCGCTTCGACAAGTGCCTTATCATCATTTCCAGATGTCCCCTTGGTCAATGCTCCCTTCTTTGATTCCAGACAGGTCCTTCTTAAGGCCCGTCTAGAACCAAGGTGAAGCGGAGTCACCATTTTCAGACATGAGCATTAGGGATGTGGTGGTCAGGGGAGCTCACTGGAAGGCTGACAGTCATGATTTGCACTTGCACCCACTGAAACATAATATTGCTGACTTCTGGTAATAGGCATAAAGTGCTATTTTTTCAAGATGCTTTAATGCTGAATGGGAGTCTCTGTTACATGTGGACAATACAGTGGGAATGTCCTCTGTTTGTATTTGGTTCTAGCACCATAATGACACTCTTTTTTTATTAATGTATTCATAAAAATGCTTAGTGCTTTTAAACAGATGTTACTTTTTGGATATTAATAATAACCATCAAAATAATAGCTGCAGCTGGGAGATCAGAACGGATAATGGTACTCAATGCTTTTTATACAGAAGGCTAAAGTCATGAATTTCTGAAGTGAGATTAATTGCAGTTAATCATTTATAATTCCTTCTAAACTCTCAGACTTATTTAAAACTGAAATGAGGTCATGATAAGGAATGCAAGCAAATGTCTACCAATATAATTGCATTATAAGCAATATGTAAGGACAAGTTGAGCAAATGACGGAATTGCATTGCTTCCAGTTAGAATTGCACACAAATAAATCTAAGACGTAACTTAAAATGGGTAATGTGCAGATCTAAGATTTTACTGAGAGTGCTGGCTTCTTTTAAAGCTTTTGCTGAAGATAATATTATATAAATTGTGGTGAATGTATAAATTTTCCTGAGGCAGTTTTCTCTATTTGCAATTAATACAGTTTGTGTAAAACCTATATGTATATCTACATGTCATATGTAATATATAACATAATATGTATGGCTACATTAGTATTACCATAAATATTCTAAGAAATACATATATAGCCATAACCCTCCTCATTACTTGGTGCATTCTGTCTTCCAGAATAATGCAATAATTTCCCCATATGATTGCTCTCATCTGCTTGAAAGAACTATCAGCAGAACTTAAATAGGGTTCCAGTGTCTTCCACTCTTCTCTTACTTGTTCCTGCTGGTCTGCGGGAGTCAAAGTTGTCACTCTGTGCCTCTTTGCAGAACACATTCACAGTTCTAGTTACAGAGGCTTCTTAATGATCTACACAGCTATTCACTAGAAATTTAACTACATGATGTCATTTTACCTAGATGTCTTCCACTGTATTTATGTAATGTGTGAAAACAGTCATGTCTAATACAGGAAATGTTCTACTTTTCTGCATTCTGTGCATTGTCCCTCATGTATTCCACAGGTAAGCATTGAAGTACAGGAGGATTTGCCAAATTTATGTTTATCTCTTGATAACACTGCAAACCTCTGATGCCAAAAAAGCAAAATTATTGTCAGTGAGTGCCCATTCCAAATGCAATGTTATATTTTATTGTAAAATTATGTTTTAAAATGTTTTGTGTATCCTTTTGATGAACAAGTGCCCTTTCTGGCTTTTTCAGGCTTATTAGTACTATATCAATATTTGATGTGTTTTAGGTTAATTAATTAAATTTGCATTCAAACTAATCAAGTTTTTTTTATTATTATTTTTAAAGGGGGCTACTATTAAAAGAGATGAACATACAGGGGCAATTGTAGTGGCCAGGATAATGCGTGGAGGTGCTGCAGATAGAAGTGGTAAGGTGTTGCTTCTTGACTCTAGTCTTCCAAATTACCTAACCCAGAAGGAAGTGAGTTGAAGTGAAAATATTCTGTACGCGTGAAATAGAGCAGTGTCACAAAAATTAAAAATTTTTCCAGATTTGGAAAATTTTCCAAAGTGATGTTTCAGTCTTAGTGAAAGTATTTCTTACTGAATTGTTTTCCCAATTCTCTTGCAACAGAGTATAGTAATTGAGGTACTAGATGCAGGGTTTTGTTGATTTTTTTTATTTTTTTTTTATTATTTTTATTTTATTTTTTGTATAGCATGCCTAGTTTACAATTGAAGACAGTCACTAAGCCAAATTATAACTTACTGCATTACTTTATATGAGATTCTGGATGTTTCTTTAAGAAAATTCTGTTTATATTGTTCTTATTTGTGGGTAGAAAAAACTAGCAAAAAATAATCATTTTACGTTTTAGATTAAGCTAGGGATATTTTTTTAATGTAATTTCTTGATAAGCCTCAGAGGTCTTAATTCTAGAGAATAATTGGGTTCAGTTCCAGTTCTATTCAAACCATTTTGCTCATTTATACTGCACTGTATTTCAAGGGTGTCATCAAAATGTAGACTACCTTGTAGTTTTACTTCATTATTGAGTGAATCTCTATTTTAGTCAAACTTCTAAACGAACAGTGACCTTTACAAAGTTTTGATCAAAGGAGCTGGATAAATGAAGCAATATTAATGCATGGAGACTATTTATTGAAAACACAACACATTGGGCTCAGAAAGTGAACTACTTTGTGGCCCTCCCTCTGCCTAGGGGAGCCCTCAGTTTTAATGAAATTCAGTAGAAAGATTACCTATGGAAATAATTTCTAAGAGCTATTGAATCAAGGTGTCTTTTTAGTGCTCTGTGGTATCTGACTAATATAAAAATAATAGCCTAATTTACCTACATGGGTGGCTGCTATCATAAAGAACTCATATTAACATCACCAAATGTTGTATTCTCTCCTTTCTTTTTTCTCTCTGAAGCACTACTGTTAAACTTAGTTCTGCTTCTGTTGGGAGAATGACTTTTACTACCCATTTTTCCATTGGCTGTTCTTGCAGAAGTAATCAGAATCACTTATAAGAATATTTGGAAATTGTAGTATATTCATTTGGGGTTTCGCTGGTGACTGTCAAATACCAGCACACCCCTGACTCCCATTGTTTGGGATATTTAAAATCTGCAAAACTTAAGATTTATCCTCTGAAGATGCCTGTTTTCACTGAAGGCAATTGAGAGAGGCTATGAGGAATAAATCTAGATATATGTTGTTAAATTAGGAAGCATTTGTGCCTCTAAACTAGCTAAGTCGTCTTTGCAATACTTGCAGCTGTGTAGCTATAAGAAAGTAGTGTGAGTGGAAAGAGAATTGGCACAGACATTTCTCAAACATCTGCATACAAGAAAGTCTGGAAAAGTCATACAACAATGGTGCTAGTTTTCAGGAGGAAGAAGGGGGGAGTGAGTAAATCAACTATCTCATGGCTGTCTGTGAGGACATTATCTGTTGTTGTGTTCGGCATATATTCCTTTATAAGCCTTTAAGTTAGAGCTTAAGGTAGATGAATAAGGCAAAAAAAATCAACAGCATCTTTCATATTACAAAGAATTTCCATTTAATAACGCCTCTTTTCTTTCTGTAGGTCTTATACATGTTGGTGATGAACTCAGGGAGGTCAATGGGATTCCTGTAGATGATAAAAAACCTGAAGAAATAATACACATTTTGGTAAGTACTGAACATTTCAGAATGAATTTAGAAGAATCAAGAAAAAGTAATATCACTTACTGTTCCTGATGTATTTCTTAGAAAAAGTATATTCTACAGTATTGCTTTTTCTTTTGGTACCGTCATTTATAAACCTGTACTTCCTTTCTCTTTAAGAATTGCTGGCTACCATTACATATATGCAGTTACAAATGACTTAATAGAAGTTGATGCTAATAATAAGTCCATGAATCAGGCATCACTGTGTAATCTAGAGTTTAAGTCATATGCTGATCGGTTGAGTTCAAACCATTTTAATCTGTGTTATTATTAATGCATTAATTCCACAATAAAATAAAATTTCATTATATATGTACTTGATGTAATCAAATTATAGGGTATATTAGTATATTTATATTGATTCACAGCTTATGTTTGCTGTCCTCTGACCTACGCAATTCCTAAAGTCAACCTAGCAACTTACTTATGGAGCTCAAATGAAATTATTTGGGCTTTTTTCAGAAATATTTAGTATTTTTACAGCAAAGAAGTTGATCATGATGACAACAGTTCTTTGTATTCACAGTTTAGTCATTTCTAAATACATAAATATATGGTTGTCCTGCTAAAGTGAGTGATACCTTACAGCTTTGGTTCAATATCCAAAATGATTCCTTTCAAATGTTAACCCAGTGATATGCATAGTTGCTTTATGGTTTTGTGTTCCCTAAAGAAACATATTTTCCTGTAAAATTAATGTTTAAAAATCTCCAGGAACACAATAGCACTAGAAAAGGTGTGAACAATTTCCCCATTTACCTCCTCAAGGTGCAATATAAACATCAAAAGCTAGTTAGAGCTTGTTTCAAAAGTAACCGAATTATTGATTCCAGTCCTAGGGCTGCTGAAATAAGAACTTGGCTGCTGCTCGTCAAACAGGGAGCTCTTGGATCACAGACACGCAGGCAGAAGTATGTCTCACTTGGTAGTGGACAGGCCTGTTTCCATTTTGCTTAAATCGCTGGCTGGCTGTTGCACTCTGCTAGTTTTATGAAAGCTGTCGGCTGCCTGCAGTAGGAGCAGAGTCTCCAGCTGATTAGCACTTCCTTCAATAGCAAAATGTCACTGAGGCAGTGGGAATATGTTGTGGTTAATATGTAAAAAGCAGCCAGAGACCCTTTAAGTGGGATATAGGGAAAGATGAATGGATGAGGTGGTTGATGATGGCTAACTTGTTTTAAGATTTATAGTGGAGGGCTTTTTTTCCATTTAGTACACGTAGTCTATTCAAAAATGTTTTTCTTTTCTAGTTTCTTTAACTTGCCAAAAGAATAAATCCCCTCAGTAGTTTTATATGATAAATATGGCACAAGCCTACTTGAGTTTTTCTATCAGGCTTTTCTTCTTTTTTTTATTTTTATAAAAATGAAATGTTAGTGGGTTTTTCCAGGGATCTCCAAACTTTGCCAGGGATCCTGCAGTTGCTTCTAATATGCATAGATTTTAACTGCCACATTTGCTCTTACCTTCAGTGTAGAACTGGTACCTCTGAAACATGTAGCTCCCAATTTTCAACATTTCTTCTCTGCTTGCCTGTGATGCAAAATAAACGAGTGGGCTCACAGTTCTGTATTGTGAAGCTGTCAAACTCCATGAATCATGCTTGCGAGAGGATAAATTCATTGTAATTTGAGCACTTTAAAATTAATTGGGATTTCCATTCCTCTTCAGATTTATTATATTGTTTAAAATGTAGATTTTAATTCTCAGTGCATTTTCTTTTAAAATATTCACCAGGCTCAGTCTCAAGGAGCAATTACATTTAAAATAATACCTAGCGTGAAGGAAGAAGCCCCAGCAAAGGAAGGCAAGGTATGTAACTACTTAAGAATATTTCAGAAACTATTGCAGTAACTGTTGTGCTGGCCATTCAAATCCTTTACTTTAAAGGCGGAACCAAGATTGTATTTATATCTCAGGCCTCAGAGTTTCTGATATGATGATGTTTAGGGCAGTGCTCATATGCTGGGTTTGCAGGTGGGCCTAGCTTGGTTCTTAAGGCTCAAACGCTGCAGCCATCAAATCGAAAAAGATGATTTGCAGTCTGCTCTTAGGACCTGGTCTACTTCCAAATACTTCTTTTCTCCCATACTAAACTGAGCAAAAGGCACTTTAAGCACCTTAGTTCAAAATTATCTTCTTTCCCGTTCCCTTATTACTGTTGACTTGCAAAGTTTTTTTTACCTTTAGGAGCTGGATTCTTCAGCCTTACCAGGTACAAAGTCTGGTCGCAGAAGCAATGAATTAAACATTGCTGTATTATCTCCTAATGTGAGATTTCCATAAGGATGTCTTACAGTAAATGTTTATTACTTTACATTATTTAGCTCAATGTTTTTTGAATAGTAAAAGCAAAAAAAGCAAGATACGTTTGGACTGCATTTAATATTTGGATTCTAAAGCAAAAGCACTCTTTGTTTCAGATGTTTATCAGAGCCCTATTTGACTATGATCCTAATGAGGATAAAGCAATTCCTTGTAAAGAAGCAGGACTTGCTTTCAGAAAAGGAGATATCCTTCAGATCATGAGCCAGGATGATGCAACCTGGTGGCAGGCCAAACACGAAGGTGATGCCAATCCCAGAGCAGGCTTAATCCCTTCAAAGCATTTCCAGGAGAGGTGAGCTCTTGAGAAGCATGATTTCATTATGTTTTGTAGTAAAAAAAGGTCGCTATTTGCAGAGTCTTTCAGTCAGCACGGTTGTCATATATATGCTCATAGATTACATTGGTATGATAAACCTGCATTTGCAGTAAGACAGCTGAACTTGGAAACCCATTGCTGAAATACTTTGGATTTCCTTATTTGTCTGGCTAGAATTAATAATGATAAAAACTGATAGGATAACACTGATCCAGAATGAAAGAGAAACCATATGGAAAATAGCACATCAATATCTGTATTCACACTGATGTACTATGCAGGAATAAGAACTGCAGCAGGTTTTTGGAGACCTTACAAAAATTTGAGGCTCAGGATTTAATTTTTTAGAATGCGACTAGATTGTTTTAAGTTAATTTCTTATAAAGGCTTTAGAATATTTTGCAATAGTCTCATGATCTTAAGTGTTTATTAATCCCAAACTTGCAGTAAAAACTGAGGAGTTTGTGTCTTTCCCCACCACCTCCTATTTTATAGGAGATTTGCACTGAGAAGACCAGAAGTGCAGATTCAGCCACTGAAAATTTCCAACAGAAAATCATGTAAGTCTGTTAACCTGGAATAGAAATCATAGTACTGATCTTTAACCTTATAAAATAGCAGTTTGTTTCAGTCTTCTGAATAGAAGATGCATTTCTCCAGGGGACAATAACTCCTTGATCACTTTGTATCAGTAGGAAAAAAAATACAACTGAAATTAAAGCTTAGAACTTTAAGAACCAGCTAAAAGTCATTCCCAACCATCTGACTTTGTTTTTGAAGCACCAAGCCCAATTAATGTTTTGATATATAATATTTCAGAGGTCAAGGACTGCTCTTTTCCTGTTGAAATACTACAGAATTGACTCTCAAGTTTATATAATTTGGATTGCATCAATACAGCAAAATTTATATTGAGAGAGACAAAAGCTCTGATGTTCTCCCTTCCCTCCCCCATAAGGTTGATGGGGTTTTTTGTGCCCTATGTGTTTTATTATTATTATTTTTTTTAAGTCAGGACACTCAGTTCTTTTACAGGCTCTCTTGGTACTATTTCTTATTGTTTTCTAAACAAATTCATTTTTAATAGCCTCTGCTTTAAAACACAGTAGTTGCACAATATAAGAAAAAATAAGCTCTAAACAAGCACATACATTGAAACAAATATTTTATTTCCACTGGAATTTACATCAACATCTGTTTTAAGTATTATTGCATATTTTACTTGACCTGTTATTTCTTTCAGTTATACAGACTCATAACAAAGTGAGTACAATGTATGAAACTATAATGTTTCAGTAGGATCTAAATCTTAAATACAAACATGTTTGTGAGTTCAACTAGAAATATTCAGAAACTGGTCAAAAGTTTCCAAGTATCTTTCCTTCTCTATCATTAAAACAAAAAGTATGGATACTGTGGCAAACAGTGGATGTTGGCACACTACAACAACAACAAAAATAGAAGAAAAAAAACTTAAATGCATTTAACTAAATGCATTTAACTAAATGCATTTAACTAAATGCATTTCGCTGTGGTTTCTGTTGCAGTTTTCCCCGACTCCTCGCCATGGCTGTTGTGTTCCTAACTTTGACAATTACTGTTAGTTTTTTAGTACTCAAGTATGTTTTTCTAGCTTTTCCACTATTTGATTATAAATCCTAATGATGTCATTAACTCCCAAAGCCTCAATTAGCTTGGTAATTTCGTTAACAGGAAACTGCATGGTTACATTTCTAATTTACCTAGCTCACAGAAACAATGAGGAGGTCCTCTAGCTTGCAGTGTATGTTGTTTTTGCAGATTCTAGGTGAAGTTGCTCTGCCCCAGTTTTGGAAAAGTTTCTGATCCCAGGGTATAGCTCTTTCTGCCCACTGTTCTTGAGTGTGCAGAATCCCCAGACAAGAGTCTTCGAATAAGGTGGCGCTGGTGCTTTTGAAGAGGTAAATCAGCTGCTGAAGCAACGCTGCATGGTTTGTTGTATAATACATTGCATCTTTTTACTGATTTTTTGTATGAAAGATTTTACAAGGTGCATCTCACCCTTCCAAGTAAGCAAGCTGTACTTGATTGGGAATTGCCAAATTTGTAATCCAGAGAAGTCCCACAGTATGAGGTGTACTATTTTTCTCTCTGCTTTCTCCATTTACCTTGCTTTAACTAGCTTAAAACAGTGAGAAGAAAAAATCTTTCCCTCTACTTTCCTTTAAAATACCACAAGGCCTTGGGATTGAGCAGTATACCTATTAATGATCTGTTTTAGACTTTTTTGAGAAAAAGGAAGGTCCAGTTTGGTGCTGGTGAAGGCGGAAGTGCCACAGGAAGGAGGAATGACAGAAAACTAATAGAGATTTGCCATTTTCCCTCTTCCTTATATCTTAGGACAATCTCTTGCTAAGGCTGACAGATTTCCATGGGAAGAGTGCTGTTCTGAGTGGATGTCCACCATTTTTTTCAAAGATTAAACATGTTTTTGGTGTTGAGAGGGAATTTCAGGTTCTTCCTGGATGAGACATTTTAAGGACAAGAATTCACCTATAGAAAAAAAAATGTCATGACTAAAATGTTGCTCAGGTTGCTCTCAGGAAAACCTTGCACTTGAGTGTCTTCTTAGGAGAATTCCAGGGGATCAGGGAGAAGCTCTGCAGCCTCGTGATCTTTCTAAAGCTAGGAAGCTTCTTTGTGTTAGGAAGCATGGCACTGAAACCGAGATGTGGGGCTCTGGCCTGCATTTGTGCACAGCAGCTATCTTGCCAAACTGGGAGATGCTGGAAAAATCTCGCATTGCAGAGCTGAAGAAGCAACATATTGTGGGGCCGAACTCTTCTTGGTGGTGGCCAGTAACAGGACAAGGGGTAACGGGTACAAATGAAAACACAGGAAGTTCCATCTCCATGTGAGGAAGAACTTCTTTCCTGTGAGGGTACCGAAGCCCTGGAACAGGCTGCCCAGAGAGGTTGTGGAGTCTCCTTCTCTGGAGATCTTCCAAACCCACCTGGATGCCGCCCTGTGCCCGTGCTCTGGGTGTCCCTGCTGGAGCAGGGGGGGTTGGACTAGATGATCTCTAGAGGTCCCTTCCAACCTCAACCACTCTGTGATTCTGTGAACATATTCCCAGGCTCAGAAACATGTCTGGGGAGGGTGACATGGAGAAGAGAAAATGAGAAAGGGCCTCGCGTTTTTGTCATTTTCTATGTTGTGGGCCATGACCCACTATTGACCTCCGTTTTACTTTACAAATTAAATATAAAATATATGAAATAAATATATAATTTTTATATAAAATAAATATAAAATATAAAGAAGTAGGACACTAACTGAATGCTTGATTCCTCTGTTTTTTGGTCCTGTACTATCAGCATTCAGCTTGGTGTCGCGTTCGTCAGTGTTTAAAGGGGTAGTTTTATGGGGAAAACAATGTTCTGTAGATCTGAACAAGCTGTTTTTGAATAAGCTGTGTATTGAAAGGTTCCTTGCTGTTGTAGTTGATCCCATCCTATCCTGTGATCTAAATTTCCTTAGCAGTTGGGATGGAAAAGGCAGTTTGCCAGCTGATATTCCTTACAGCTGCGAAAAGATGACAACCTGTTGAACTTAAACAGAGATGCTAATAAAAGTCCCTTTCCTGTGAGGGCTGGAGTTACACTAGGGAACTTTCCTGTGACACAGTCAGTAGAATGGAGCGTCAGTTCCCTCTGTTCAGTTGATTCATCCCATAGATCCTGCACTTCGTAGTTGAGGAAGAAACCTAATTAGATTTCTTCAGTTTTAATAGGGAGAATTGAGGAGAAATATTTTATTTTTCCTAAATGTCAAGAAAATGTGGATCAGCTCTGATTTCTCAAGTGAGCTTCCAGGGCAGTAGTACTTTTTGTGTCTCTCCTTATGCCAGTGTCTGGAACTGGGAAAGGCTTGGTTGAATTCAACTAGAAAAAGAGCTATCTGAAACATATTTCTAAGTCTGCAAGAAGAGAGATCAAATGACTTTTAACAGCATTCTTTCTATTTCTGATTTTGATTTTTTAATACTTCTCAGCCTAGCAATGTGTTTCATGTGAAGTAATTAAAATGTGTGTATATTTGGGTACTATAAATTCAGAAGCCCAGGGAAGCTTTGGTGATACTGACCACATGTACAATCTTGAGGAGAGGGAGGGGAGGAAATTTTCCATGGAACTCTTCAACAAGAATTGATTTACACGGGAAAGAACATAAATCTAGGCTGGGCCAGTTTATAACTGAAATGCCAATACTTAGTTTTAGTTTAATACACTGTCACAAGCCAAGTCAATTGTCTCATTGTATCTATGTGTAAAGTGAATATAAGTAAAAGTAAATGTTCTGTAAGAGAGAGAGCAATGTGCAGACACACACACCTTTCCCAGAATGTAGCCGTTGTCTTGAAAGACATAACAGACTTGTTCTCATATTGCACCAGTCGAAGTGAAAAGCCTTTAATATGTGTAATGTCAGAAGAGGAAGTAAAACAGTAAACATTATATATTGAAAGGTAAGTGAAATCACACTCTATTATTGGAAATGGGAGAGGGCACATAGCTTGATAGTGTCGGAGAGTGAGGTGGAGGGAAATTGATAAGGCAGCCAGACGCTACATGGAACAATGATAAATATTAAAGCAAAAGAAAGTCCAGAAAAAAGTAGGAATTAGGAAATGAGGGGGAAAAAAAAGCAGTAAAGTGAATTTTAGTACTGAGAATAAAGGAAGAGAGAAATTACTATAATAAGGACAGTGGAAGAATGGTTGAATAAAAGCTGCCTTTAAACCCAGCTAGGCAGAACTCCAGAGAGAAGGGTCTTTGGAATTATTAAATTAGTGCTATTAACAGTATTATGAGTTTGAACAGTCAGTATTTGCACTATCATTCATTTTTTATGGTTCCTTTTCATATAAAAACTTGTTGTTAAAGTTTTTAAAATGGCGAATGCAAATCCCATATGAACATTGCCCTATTAACAGTTTTTCATTATCAGTGTAAAACCATCTCAATAAGTTCAACATTGTTAAGATTTAATAAGGTTTAAATGCATAAGACAAGTGGCAGTTTAGATGTGCTGACCTGCCTGATAAAACTGATAATGTTAATTCTGAGACTTAGCGCAAATTTGTGAGTCTCTGAGTGAATGTGAAACTTGTAAAGCATTTTCAGCATTTTTCTCAGTACTTAATACCAACAACTTTACAGCCAAAAGCAATGTTGTTTGTTCATTTAATATGATGGGAAGAATATACTGGGAAAAAATGACGAGAAAAAAAAATGAAGAAAATAGGAAAATGGAGTGAAAGTAAAGGAATAGAGATGCATGAGATTGTGTTAACGAGATTAACTTTCCACATATTGGGAGAGTGAAGCCTGCTTTATACCTGACTTTGGGGGTGAATGGAGCTTGTGGGACACAGCGGGACATGCAGTACAGAGGTGTCCAGCTGCATGAAGTCAGCTTGGAATTGTCTGAGATGATTAGTGGTGATGGAAAGACAGCTCTGCAGAAACCTGCGTGTCTGATGTTCCTGAGGAATAATGAGCAGCACTGGTTTTAGTAGCAGGAGCATGGGCACCTCTTTGTACCCAGAGCTGGCTCTATGAGTTCTCCTCTTACTTCACCTCAGCTGATTAGGAGTGCCGTGAGCCTCAGTATGAGGAAGAATTCATTTTTTTATTAGTTCCAAGCCTGTGAGCTTGAACACAAAGAGTATTCATGCACTGGCTCTAACAGTCACTGCCAGCAAACAGTGATCCTTGCATTTGCAGCTTACTTTAATTTGTAGAAAAAGCAGCAATAACCTATTCCCTTGAAAAGAAAAAGTAAATTTATTTTACAAACAATTAATGTAGTGTTCTGCAGTTCTTTGCAACTATAAATGTATCATCCAAGATACATCCCTTCAGCATAATTTTGCTTTCATAGCAATTACTGTATTTTCTCTCATATTACTATCTGTTATGAAAACTACTGTTAACATTATATTTTACACTAGCCTGTAACTAGTAACCTTTAACTTCTGTTAACTTACACAGTGCATGCATATATGTATATGTGTATCCATACCCTGTGCGTATATTTATACATAAATACATAAGGTAGGTAGCATCACCTGAATCAGAGCTATTCAGAAATTATCTTTTCCTTGAAAATAGATTTGTCCAGTATATTTAATGTTGCATTTAAAATACTTATTGTGGCAAAGTCATTATTTTATAGTTTTTCTAGGCCTTAAGAGCTGTTTTACTTTCAGTTTTGATTTATCTTATGTGATTGGCATTGTATGAGTAAGAAGAAATGTTTAACTGCAGCCAAATGGTGTTCATTCAAACAAGATGTAACCCAGTTTATGCAAAGATGAATGTGTTGTGAATTGAAGATGATATTCTGCCAACAGAAGAATTTAAACAGAGTAAGAGAATGAATGTTTCATACGAGTTGTATTTGAAGATGAAACATTTGCCTAAATGTCTCATAGGACTCCTTTGCTTGTTGTAATTACTGCACACATTTAATTTTGCATTTCTGCTCAGTATTTATCTATTTTCCTGTTTGATTCCCAATTGCCCACCTGCAGGGAGTTGAGAGCAAAAAATGAACTAAAGCTTCAGAGTTAAACTAACAAGTTAGCGTGTTTGCTCAAAACTTCTCTATGCTTTAAAAATACTAACTTCCTGCTATCACAAAGAAATTAAGGTCACCTGGAGCTGGATGACAGTTGAGTCACAAGGCAGAAGTGGAAACGGATCCTGTAAATTCTTGGTCTGTCCTTCAGTGCAGCAGCGTCCTTCTACATTTTCCAAATTTTCTTAGTAGAGATTCTGATATCTGATGATATTATGAAAGGATTAATTTAGATCACCTTAAAATTTCTGGTAACAACAATATATGTATGATCTACAAAATCCTGTAGGATTAAAACTGCAAAGCACAGTGAATGTTGGATGCTTTGTGGCACTAACTGTGTGTTCATCACTAACAAAATCAAGAGTGTTTTATTTGTTTAATATATTCATTGTAATGCAGGTCCTTGTACATCCCAGTTTCTTGCTTACAAAAAGGTAATAAAATTTAAGGGAAAATGTAATGAGCTTATGTTAAGAAGCTGGAACAGAGCTGCTGGATCTAATTTTAGACGGAGAAACATTAAACAAAGATTCTTTAATAGAAACACTGTTGAAAGAAAGTCAGCAAGGGTTAAAATTTTGTTCTGGTGCTGAGTTGAGTAAAGAGCTCAGGCAGTTCCTGGAATGGCTCTGATTTTGAGCTTCGTAAGTAATACAATTTAGGTGAGGCCCATCAAATCAGATGTAAATATATTTCAGTTAAAATGCATAAAAAATGCAGTGTCTGTAATTGTGTTTTGCACTGTTCTAGTAAGGCATACTGGCTACGTTGATATCTTTCTAAAATGAATAAAAACACATGCTTCCTAAGTTTCCATTGCACTTCTGTTTCCTATTTCTTTTTTTTCCCCCATTTATACCTTGATAAAACTTCATTGTTTTTTTCATGAACCTGTCCCCTGACTACTTCCTCCTTTGTAATTTCCCCCCTCTTCTTATCACATACTATTTAATTGATAGCATTTCTTTTTTCAGTATTTTTGCTCCATGTTTCTGGTGCTTTTTTACAGTTTGTCAGTACTTTTATTATCCTCCTTTCCAAATGATTTCCTGTTCTTCATTCTTACCCTACTCCTCATTAATCTCGTAGTTGTTCCTTCCTGCTAAACATCTCTGTTTTCTTTCTCTCCACTGCTTCAATTTGGTAGTTATATTGTCCTGAGAAGATACACCCAATTTTTCCATGTCTCTAAAATTTGGAACATTCTAAGCATATGTCTGCAAGTAGCTGCTGCATGCATACACCTGCGTTAGTTAGTGATAAATCCCAAAATGAAATTTCCAGGCAAAAAAGTCTGGTTTTAAGAGGGACAGACAATTTCCCCTGGTGGAATTCCTAAAAAAAAAAAAATCAGAAGTCCCGTGTTGTTGGCTGCCTTGTAGCCGCAGTAGCCTACGAGGTGCTGTTTCCCACATCTTTTCATTATGTTCAAATGTAGCGGTAGCCCAAGTAAGCCAAGAGCAGTATTGAGAGGGAGGATCCCTCAGTGCAGATGCAAGCAACTCCAAAGTGCTCAAAACTCTTGCACTTTTGTCTTAGCGTGAAGCCTCCGTTTGTGCACAGTTTGTCTGCTCTCTGGCATCTGCTGGCTCGCTGGGAAATCCAAACAAATTCATAGCACAGAAGGTAAAAGACCATCCCCATTCTGAGGAGGGGCAGGCCAAATGCCTGGGGTCCTTTCAGCTCTCAGCTCAGCCCCCATAACTCCCCATCTGCCCCCATAACTCCCCAGGCTTCCTTCCAGTGTCTGTTAATCCTCACGGATAAAATACCAAATAGAACCCTTAAAAGTCCACAACCACCAGTCCAGTCACATCACTGCATTCAGGAAATTATTTAGATGTGTTGCTATGAGCTGTTTCTGTGCATTAGTGCCCTTTTTTTTTTTTTATTTCCGGAGATATTTTTGCAGCCTATTGAAAGTCAATTAGAAGTGTAGAAAAAACTCATGGAACTTGCCCGTGTGTGGACAAGTGTAAAAAGGCTCCTCAGCACGAAGAGGGAGGAAGAAATAGTAAGTACCTTCAGCAAACCGACCTGTCATTATACATCCAGCCTCAGGGCGTTTGTCACTTCAAAGAATTCAGAAAGTCGGGACAGGAAAAAGGATCCAGTGTCCTTTAACCTCACAAAAGTGTCTGCGCTCTCTTAAGGCATCAGACGTGGTCAGCTTTAGAGGACTTGCCAGCCTGCTAAGACCTGCAGTCACCTTAAGTGTAGGAATGCCTTCAAATGTGCTTTGGAGAAATCTTCCAAGTTAATCTTTGTGAAAAATGTCCTCAAGAAAAGGAATGTCAAGAAGTGGCTCTGCAAAACAGCATTCTTCACCAGGAAAATAAAAAAAGACTTCTGTTTTTGTGTCCATTTCACAGGATGAAATGGGGAAAGCTCTTCATGTTACCCGAAGTTAGGAGGGTTTTGACCCAACCTTTATTTGATACATCAGTTACCTTTTGAAAGAGTTTAAAATATCCTTCTAATAAATCATCAGATTCTGTGGGAAGACATGCTTTGTAGGAACTCTTTGAAATAATTATATATAGTTTTATGTATTTATGTCCAGGTTCCAGAGGATATCTGCATGATACGTAGATTGTAAAATCTCTGTGTGAATCTAGATATTCATTAATCATATCTTTTGAATGCAAATTCATAACAGTTATTTTGCTTTTCTATGCTAGCCCAAAGATGAATGTAAATATGTATGTTTTCTCCTATCAAGGAGGCAAAAGCTTAATGGCTTATTACAGGTAAGGCAAATGTCTAGATTTATTATATTAGGAGAGTGTCAGGAAAAAAAAAAAGGTGTATTTATCTACTTTCATAAGGTTAGTCCTAAAGGTAGTAGCAGCTACTTCTGTATGTGTAGGAAGATACTGAGACCAAATTCATGGCAGTGATTCTTGGAAGTATCAGGTTACAGCCGATATTAGGCAATTAGCCAACTATGCAGTTAATTTCCAAGAGATGATTCATCACAACTGGTTACAGTCACTACTACCACGTAAGTAGTGGAAGACTCTCGGGTAGGAAATTTGAAGTATCCATAACATTTCAATGTCTTTTTTTTGGTCCTCTTCTACCTTTGTGTGTATTTAAATACCAAGTTAAATTCAATGCAGGTGTGTTGCTATATGCCTCGATATAATGGGTGCTATTTGGAGGATTTTAGAATAGCTTACATAGCTACATTTTTTTTCCTATTTATGAAGTATTAAACAATAATACTTTGCTTTTTTGGCTGTTCTAAGATGAGGAAGCGGTTGAGTGTGGTAGGTGCATTTTTTTCTTCTTAGTTTTAACTTTTCTTTCTGAAGTTATGTTTGCAGCCCATTTAATGATTTTCTTTCCTATTTTTCCTTTGTGCTTCTCAGAGGAAATTGAAGGTACTTGTACAAAAGTTTCCCTGCATAGCCCAATAATTTTATTTTGAGAACATGTGTTTAGAATTAAATTGAATATAGTCCCACATTTGTAAGAGATGTTATACATATAATGCTTCCATGTTGCCAGCAAGTACGTTGGTTCATTTTTTCTTAAATAGATAAAAATATTACAATATTCCTACTTACTTCATGTGAAGATCAGTAATTTGGACTATTGTTATAAGCTGTTTTCTCTCTCTCTTGAACTGTTGGAGGAAAGATATGTATAAAAGAGGAGTATCATATCGTTAGGAAAACTTGGGTGGCCTGGTTTGGGAAGAGATGGTTCTGACTCAATGACATGGCCTTGAGAGCTCTTGCGTTTCTAATTAATACTGAGGAAATATTTCTCTGAGACAGTAGAAACTTCGTCCATGTAGTATCATCCTGCTTTCCCTCTAAGTCTACCCTGTTACTGTTATGCTTGCAGCATATGTTAAAGCAATAGCAGCTGATCTGTTGTTTTTCTTTTTTAACTTGAGGCCTTTGTTTATAAAGGCATTAGAAATTGTAGCTCGTTTTTTTGTTCAAAGAGCCTCTGGCATGTAAAAATATACATTATAGCTATTTTACATCAAATGAAAGGGTGTGTTTTTGATCAAAAACCTTTCTGTCTAATCCATTGAGCCAAGATTTAAAGCAGTCTGATAATTTATAATTTACAAAAAAAAAGCTTGATTTACATCAAATATATTTTGCTTTCTTTTAAGTGGCATCATATTATTATTAACTGATAAAGGATGAATAATATAGCATTAGAATTATTTTTAGAATATTTGTTTGCTGTAACCAAAACGTATTGTTTGAAAACATAAAAAGATCAGTGTGCATGCTGCAAAAATCTGGATTATTTTCAGCTAAAATATAAAACAATAAACATTGTTTTATGTTTTTAAGAACATGGCTTATTGAAGGCTTTTTAATGCTATGCTTTGTACAGTTGTCATTTTTTAAATAATTTCTTCTGTATTTGTTGCTGGGCTTCTAACTATTCTGCTTTATTTCTTGGCTCTTATTCTGTGTGCTTTTACCCTTCGTCCAGAAGATGCTGAGTGTGCTGGTCACAACAGTGGATCCCATCTAGGTGAGCAGTTGGTTACAAAAGATGATTTCTTCCTTTCTTTTAGCTTATCTTCCCTGGAACTACTGGGTCACTTTCCCTTTGGGGGTAATCTGCATACAAATATCCTTCCTGTGCATGTTAAAAGCATGAATACTAAAATTCTAAAAATGGCTCATTGGATTTGACATAAAGGATTTACATAGTGCAGTGTGTCTTCATCTGGCTAACCACAAACTACTAAAAAATACTGTTTTGATTTTTAAGTCAAAATTTTAATATACCGTAAGTGGGAAAATTTGTGACTCTTTGTATGTTAAGCAATGTGTTTACTGTATCATGAAATCTGAGCGAGACTTTAAAGAGACACTTTCAATTTTTATCCACATTTTGCTTACCCTTTCTTTCTATGTTTCTAGCTAATAATTTTGGGCATGATTTAGTGACAGTGCCAAGCAAATTTGTGTGCATTGGTTCCTATTCCACATTACCAAAGTAAGTTGTAACCCAACAGAACCCCTTCAGCTTGAGTCTAAGGATTCCAATTTTTAAACAAACATAACATTTAAGAAAGGTGATTTTTCCATGATATGTTTCAACTTTGAATTTGTGCCATTTAAAAAACTATTTTAAAATGTTTTAGTTGAAGCTGGCCAGTATTCCTGCCCGTGGATGCTGGGCTAGGGTGGATCTTGCAGCAACCAGCCATTTTCGCAGCACTTTCTCCCTCCTACTGTGGGAAGAATGGGCAGAAACTTGTTAAAAGTGCTTCACACATCCAAACCACTGGGCTCACTGAAACAGCTTACACCAGTGCTGTAAATTAGGGATGGTTTTCATGTTGTAGTACCTTTTCAAAATGTGATATATAAACTGCATAAGGACCACAAAAACTACATAATTTAAAGAACTTCGGCTTATTTCCAAAACCTTAGTGTGCTATAATTTGGCCAGTTACTTGCAGAACTAATGTTCACCTGTGTTCTTTGAGTCATTGTACTAAAAATAAACTTTTTACATTTGTTGGTCAATCAAATAATTGTATTAATAGTGAAGTACAGTTGTATTGACAAATTGAAGTATACTTGGAAAACGGTATTTTGAATGCAATTCCAGATGAACTATATCTGCTATATAAAATCCTTTAGAAATGAAAAGATAATTTTGCCCACTTACTCTTC